CACCCAAGGCACCCACATAGCCACTCCCTTCCTCCTTGCCAGGTGAAGGACCGGACAGACATCATCTTTGAGGTGGGGGACGAGCAGCAGCTGAATTCCTGGATGGCTGAGCTCCGGGAGTGCACAGGCCAAGGGTGAGGCCCCGGACCATAGGGCCCCACTCCTGGCACAGCTGTTCCTACTGCCCTGGTCTATCCAGATCCTAACCTCAGCCTCTTCAGCAGGCTGGAGAGCACAGACCCAGAGACGCACATTCCCTCAGCCCCAGAGTTTGGCACATCCAACTCCCCGCGGGGAAGCACAGATTCCCTGAACCAAGGTGAGTGGGTCAGGCCTCTGTTCTCCGGTAAGTCGGAACCCGCTTCAGCCTAGGATGTAAGGTACCCACCGGGGGTGACCATCACCCGTCCTGTCTACCAGGTGCTTCTCCTGGGGGGTTGCTGGACCCAGCCTGTCAGAAAACAGATCACTTCCTGTCCTGCTATCCCTGGTTCCATGGCCCCATCTCCCGGGTGAAGGCAGCCCAGCTGGTTCAGCTACAGGGTCCTGATGCTCACGGAGTGTTCCTGGTACGGCAGAGTGAGACACGGCGAGGGGAATATGTGCTCACATTCAACTTCCAAGGCATAGCCAAGGTACGGGGCATGGTAGGTGGGGCCGTACCTCCCCCACCCCCAAGTTCAAAGCCCTCAGTGGCCAGTGGCTGAGCCCACTCTCCTCTCCTCTCTAGCACCTGCGCCTGTCGCTGACCGAGCGAGGCCAGTGCCGAGTGCAGCACCTCCACTTCCCCTCTGTTGTGGACATGCTGCGCCACTTCCAGCGCTCTCCCATCCCACTCGAGTGCGGTGCTGCCTGTGACGTCCGCTTGTCCAGCTATGTGGTAGTCGTCTCCCAGCCACCAGGTGTGACCCTTGATAAAGGGGGTGGGTGGCCCAGGGAACCAGAGGGTAAAAGCTTGCTGCAAACCCAGGGGCACAGAGATTTTTGTGTTCTTCCAACATCTGCCCCGTAACATTAAGACTGACTGCACTGGTCTCTCTCTCGGTCACTTGTCCCCCAGGTTCCTCCAACACCGTCCTGTTCCCTTTCTCCCTTGCTCACTGGGATTCGGAGCTGGGCCTTCCCCACCTTAGCTCTTCTGGCTGTCCACGAGGGCATGGCCCGGAGGGTCCCCCCAGCCGACCCTCCCCCCCAGAGCAGATATTCCACCTGCTGCCTTCGCCCGAGGAGCTGGAAAACAGCCTGCGGCACCTGGAGCCTGAAGCTGCCAGTCGAGCCCGGGACTCAGACTACGAAATGGACTCCTCCTCCCGGAGCCACCTACGGGCCATAGACAATCAGTACACACCTCTCTGACCGGCGGTGAGGAACCCGGCCTCACACGTGCCCCGGAGGAGCGCAAGCAAGCAGAGATGTGAACTTGTGAATGTAATTTTCTTTCCTTCCTTCCAGAGAGAGAGTTAAGGGACACTGTTAACTGCTCCAGTTTCGATGTGACCCTTCTATCCGGCCTGTTAAAGGGCCTCCTGTAAGTTGCGTCGCCCACCACCTGCTTTCTCCTCATTGTTTACAGATGTAGTTCTCGTTCGCAGATGCCACCAGCTCCTGCCCCAAGTCCCCAGGACCAGTCCCATCCTCTTACAGGAGGTAATGGGTGAGGGCCAGAGCTGGCGGCAGAACCTGGGCTCTCTTTTTCACTGACACTGTCACAGCCGATGGCAGACTTTCGGGGGGGGGGGTGTCAGGAAGCCCAAAACACTAACAAGCTCTGGATTCTCATATGGTTTGCCTGTTGTAGCCTCAGTCCACGTGGCAGGTCTGCCGTCACCCACGTCATAGGTGAACACACCACCCCTGCTCTGACTCGCAGCTTTAGGACAAAGCTCAAGGTTAAAAATTTTTTTAAACATTTTACCTCAGATTAATTTTTCAAAGGATTCAGGTTTCAAAACTCAATTATTGCTTATGTCATTGCACTCTTTAAACTAATACCCACGCGATTTTGTAGTTCAGAGACAGCTATGCAAACCCTACTTGACTAGTTCCCAGTCTGAGCCAGCACGCCTGGCATCCATGTCTTTTTCATCCTCAGGACAGTCACCTGCTGCTGAGTAGCCACTGTCCTTACTAATGAAGAGAAGTGAAATACGTCACCCTTTCAGGGAAATTCAGGCAATTACTGAAATAGGAGGGTGGCAAGGAATAATTCTACCCTGGTGCCTTATGAATAAAAAACTGGATTCTGGTTAATAGCAGTTTTATGGTGAGAGTTAAACTAGTTTAACCAAGGGGTAAGGGGAGGGACAAGCAAAAAGGGAGGAAGGGCTCCTGGGCCATCCTTCACCAATGGGGCTGGCTCAGAAACCCCCAGACATCTAATGGCTTATAAACTATCCCACAAGGTTTTAGGCTCACTCTTGAGCCAAAAGAGCAGCTGGGAATCTGGTGCCACAGCTATTGAGAAACTCCTTTAACAGCCACAATCAGCGTTCTGTGCCAGCCGCTTACTGCTTCTCTTGATGAGGAATGTGCGCGCGCACTCGCGGGCACGCAGCGTCTCCACCAGCCGGGGGCCTGCAGTCGAACCTCCCTCTATACTTGCCTTTCACCAGTAATACAATTCACAGGGGAGCTGGCTCCCCCCAGGACTTTCACGCAGAGGCTCTAAAACAAGGGGGCAGTGACAGAGTGGAGCCAGCTGCTCCTGGGTGCCAGCAGCAGGCTCACCCATGTGGCTTCTAGGAAACTGGGAGTTCAGCACAGCTTAACCTTTACAGATACATCAATCAGAGGCTAAATTTAAACCCTGGCCTAAAACTACTGCTTCCCTTATTTGGGGTGACGGTTCGGTTTGCTCCCTCAAGCCATTCTCTGCATTCCCAGTGGTCAGACTTTTGATTCTAGAATTTTCTCGGGTTTTCTTTTGGGGGGGGCGGCGTCGAGGGGGCCAAGCAGTCACCTCTTCACCACTTTAGAAACCAACACTCCTGGGTGTTTCCAGTAGATTACAAAGCAGATCCAATCCAGATTTGTGGTTTTTTTCTATGTTCTGAATTTCTCTTAGAGAAAACTCATCAAAGAAAGTGCTGAGAAGGCACTGGTACAGATTGTCCCCTTGGCTGCACAGGAAAGGGGCCAAGTAGGCAACAACCCACGTGAGTCCCCTCCCTCTAGCCAGAAGGGATGGAATCTAAACACCTGGAATGTGACATCGTTAAGCCAGGGACCCTCACTGCTTAGCTGCTCACCATACAATTCTCAGGTAATACAAAAAGGCAAGCCAGGCACAGCAAACTAGCAGCTCTGACCCACTGGCTATGAAGGACAAGTCCAGACTCAGTGACAAGAAAACTGGAAGTCACCCACCTCCAGACTGCTTCAGTTAATACGCTCAAGAAAAACACTTCCTTTTAAAACATGTCCAAGTTCCCAGGACAGCTCAAATACGGCCCCCCAAAAAGCCCCCTCAGGGCCTGAGAAGAAGTGACACCGAGCCACTGCCTTTTCTTTCCGCTAGAGCAGGTCGAGATGGAGGAAAAGGAGCCGTGGGTCCCCTGGGCTAGATGCCTTCACAGGCAATGACCCTGCTGGCTACAGTCAGCCCAGCAAGGTCACAGCATACCCCACCACCCTCCTGGCCCCAGGGTGACTGCTGCTGGCAGCAAGAAGCCAAGCCAGCAGCCTCCGCTGAGAGCCCGGGCTCGGAGTGCCAAAGGACAGTAAGCACCATGATCCCTCCAGTTAGCTCTAAGGACGAGACAACAGGATAGCTTGACTGCTCCCAGCACCATCACTTCCTTCTTCTGTCTTGAATGAACTTTTACATACTAACAGTCACCAGCACCAAAGAATTAAGTCAACTAACCTGCCTTGAATTTTAGACCAGCAATCCATATGGCTTTATCTGGTATAAATCTTCTGCCTTTGATCATTTCTGGACCGTGTAGGAAAAAGGAATAGCAATCATTAAAATCTTAGGCCAGAAAACACTATTTTTACATAACAGTTTCTTAACCTAAAATCAAGGCCTTGAACTCTTCCCTAAGTGTTGCCTGAGATTCCTTCATGCTTTTAATTCAGGGCTACGTCTCTTACTGCAAATGTCACGTGAGCTCTAACATCTCCCACAGGCTTGAGGAACTTGCTAGTACATCACCCACCACTAACAAGGACACATCTGACACCCAGTGTTTGGCTGGAATAAGCAGCACATTGTGATGACAACGGCGTAAATGGATCCATTCTGTATCATTATAGGCAGAAGATATTTGGCAAATTTGTATGTATTGTTTATGTACTGTACAAGTAACTTATTCTTGAATAATGCAAATTTTGCTATAATGTACAAATTGCTACACATGAATTAAAAGTTTTCAGAACTGACTTGTTGCCACAATATTTAAAGGCTCTAGCATTACAGGACTGTGGTCTCTGCAAAATCCCTGCTCCGTTCCACTGCTCGCTCCTCCCTCTGTCCTCCCACACGCAGCAGCGTGAGCACTGCCGCGCGTCTACGGCAGTAAGCGACTCTGTACAGCGCTGTGCTGTTTTAGCTTTTCAGTCTTCTGGATTTATATTTCTTTTTAAAAAGTGTCTCCTGCCCCCTTCTGGCAAAATAGGTGTGTGAATCAGAACGACTTCTGACTAACAACACTCATCTGCGTTCAGGAGATATTAAAAAGGAAGCTTACAGAACCAGCGTCAGGCTGAGGATGTGGTATCTCAGTGCCGCCCAGCTCTGGCCAGCCTTCCTCCTTCTGGAGCGGACCTTTATCCACCAAAGAGAATGTCTCAGTCTTGTCTTTTTCTAGAGATACCTTGAACCAGAACTAAAGGCGAAGAAAAAAAGTCATTTGACAACTAACCTTCCAGGATTATTTAAGAAAGCACACTCAGCCCTCCTGCCTTGATACGAAGTATCCCATAATAGAAATATCTTAAGCTTATACAAACACACACTAACTTGATATCAGTTTTTAAAACTTTTTTTATTTTTTAATTTTTTTTAAGTTTTTATTTTATATTATCTACAAAGTAAAAGTTTTTCCCTTAACTTAAAAGTTGAACCACTGTAGACAGTGATCACTCCATCAAACTTGATTTATAAATAATAACCCGTCATTTTGACGGTAAGAATTTACTGAACCTTTGTCAAGTTTAGTAAAAGGGCGTTCCAAGTCTTGATTTTTTTTTTTTTTTTTTTTTTTTTTTTAGCAGTAATAGCAGCAAGAATCACTCTTGTTACTTCTTTTGCTAGCTGATGTGTTCATGACTTTCGAGGGTCATTAAAAAATAAATAACTTCCAGTTTCAGCAAGCAGAGCTGGGGTACTTGCGGGACTCTGAAACAGCATATGGAATTATGGAACAGCCCACAAGTTCCTAAATGCCTCTACTCGGTCCAAATATCTTCCACTGCAAGTGAACTGTTAGCATTCCTATTGGATGTTACAAGAAATCAACATATATTTTTTAAAAACAAAATAAATGAAATTCTAGTTTTCTGTGCTTCCAGTTGGTAGAAGCAGTAGAAGGGAGGAGGGAATTTGGCCTTTCGGTTCCTCCAGGGCAGCCTTACAACTGCTGTTGGTGGTGGGCTTGTACTGTAAGAAAGAAAAGTGGATATTTAAACAGAAAACTGGCAACACCGCAAATCAGCCTAGTGTCTCTGCAGCACACGCCTGTAAACTATCCTTGTGCTAGCTGAACAAGACTCAAAATTCAATTCATTCTTCCCCCTCCCATCTGCACCAAAAAGGGGAGGGGTAGGTGGGTGGGTAGAAACAAACCAGTCAGATGTAAAACCACTTCAGGTAAAACTCCCAGAAGATTTGTTGCTCATGGGGTAGAGAAAAAGGCCTTAACATACCCCCTCCCCAGATACTAGCCAAGCACCAGTATTGATTTCAGAGTAACAGGTTAGACTGAAATATCGCCATGGCAGCCATCAAGTGTTAGAGCACAATCACGGGGCCTTCTCTCCCTGTCAGGGCATAGGCTGGAGCTAAGGCTACACTCAAAACCAGTCCACACACAGCACACTTTCTCATCAGTAGTCTTCTCCAGAGCTACAATCAAACTCTGCCATGGTGGTAACCACCCCCGTCAGACTGGGGGCGGGGGGCGGGGGGGACTAAGGAAGGCGAACGCTGCCCTGTCCAGCCTATTGTAACAAGGAAGGCCAACTGAGTCCTAAGCATGCGTCAGCCACACAGAATGCTGCTGCTGCTTCTCATCAAGCCAAATCCTGTATACCATCAGAACACACACAGACTCGGCTCCTGGAAGCCTCAGGCCCTGACACTGAACTTATCATCACAGTCCCTACTGTGCACACTCTGACGGGTCTTCCTAGTTCTCGAATGCGGGGCTTGAAGCGCTGGCCCTGCCTGCCGTTCGATCTGTGCGAGCAGAATGCTTTGGGGTGCCCGGCGGCCCCTGCACACACACGCCTCACCTGAAGGGTGCGTCATATAGGGGAAATGCGCTGTTGTCGAGACTGGAATGGGCTGTAGTGCACTTTGAGCGAGGGCGGCCTGGGGACCGCCGGGTGGCTGTGTCGTCATTAGCATCATTGGCGCATGGGCAGTTGGATGAGAAGGAACCATTCCTGACTGTACATGAGCCTGAAACAGAGAGCTCTTTTACGCATACAGGCAACATCTCCAGCTTAAACAACATGTCAACTGTGTTCCTTTAGCTGGGCTGGGGCAGGAAAGGCCAACAGGGGGGCCCTCAGGGCCCTTTCTTTCCTCTGTGGACACTCCCTAGTGGATCATCCATTGACCTACAGACCTGCTTCACCCTTTAGCAGGTCCTGGAAGGCTGAGGGAGCAGGCGCCCAGCAAGCCTGGGTAAAAGTAAGGGCTGCATCATCCTAGCCTTCAACATTTCTGACTGCTGGATTCGGTGTATGTCGGGCAAGACCGTCACAAAGCTAGGTATCTGATCCGAGGGAAGAGAGGTGCAATGACGCTTCAGAATCTGGCTTCTGAGTGGGGCCTGAAGCAGTTTTAAAGGTAACCTCCCTTTTAATTAGGAAAGCAGGTGACGACAGTCATCTATGGATTCCTTCGCCCTCTTGTTGTCTGCCCCTCCCCTCTGCTTGTCTGCTCACCAGCACATCTCTGTGAAGAATGAGTCCGGGCAGCGAGAGAAGAGACAGTCGGGCCCCTTTATTCTAAGAGACATGCTGACTGAGCAGGAGGAGGAGGCTGCAGTAAATGGCTCCAATGAAATGGGGGAGGAGTGATGTGAAATTATCTGGGCCAGCCCCGTGTCCCTAAACCAAGTGATAGTGAGTGCAACCTGGTCAAGCTGGGAAAGGGCTAGCCAGCCCAACTGCTGGATCCCAGCCCTGGGGAGACACGGCAGGCCCAGAAGAGCCCTCCTTTCCTGCCTCCCTGTGCACTGTCCTAGACCACAATAAGCCTTGCATGAAATGCTGCTTTTACTGTCTTACATATTCCAGGGCCCATGGCGTATCTGGACTTCCCTGGAAGGGTTAACCTTTTTCTCTTTCAGCACAAAAACACAAAAGTGAGGTTTTAGGAACTCTAACTTAAGGTAAATTCACATATCTACTTAGCCACCAGCCTCTGCTAACCACCTCCAGGACCCCAGCTCTCATGAAGCTCCTGATTCAGCCAAACCACGCTGGCCCACACCTGACCAGACCGGCCGGCCCCCTCCCCACTGTCAAAACCAATCATCCGCTGCAGTGCGCCACACCACAGGACCCTCCTCACTTGTGCAGAGGAGGACGCCCAAACTCCCCAGAGCTGCGGAACTCTAGTCACAATGTCGCCTTCTGAGAGGGAGCTCCGAATGAGCCGCGTCTCCAGCCCCCAGCACGCCAGTGCCTCAGGGGCGCACCATTAGACATGAAAGGGAGTTCAGTGAGCAATCTAGCCTGCACCTGCCTCACAGAGTTCTATTATGAAAGCAGCAAGAAGAGCCATCAAATACAGCCGATTCACCCTTAACAGCTCCAGGGAGGGCCTCGAGGACAGTGTTAGAGCCCAATTTCAGTGCAGCTCCTTATTAAGATAATCTAACGTGGCCCTGGATTGCATGGACTTTTGTCAGCAGCTGATGCAGCCGGCAACCACGGAGATGGCAACCACACCTTTCAACCATCAGAGGCTTACGCTGGAGGAGCGCTCCAGAGAGCCAGGATGCTAAGAAAAATGGGAACGCCTGAGTGCTTCCAACTTCTAGTTACACCGCACCAATGTATAAGGCCAAGCCCTTTCAAGAAGTACAACATATGGTCAAAGCGGATGTACTGATAGGCAAGGAAAACAAGGGGAGAGATTTCTCTGGAACTCGTGTAACTAACATTCAAGCGGACAGGCTCAGGGCAGTCACCTCAGAGAGCTGAGAATTTGTGAAGGCCCAACCTCCCTGCCAGTCTTTTTTTTCTCTCTCTCTGTGTGTGTGTGTTTGTGTGTATGTGTGTGTGTGAGTGTGGGGGGGGGATGGAGAGTGTGGGAGGGGGATGGGGAGAGTGAGGGAGGGAGAATGGGGTAGGGATAGAGAGAGAGGGAAGGGAGAAGAGGAGAAAGAATGTATGTACTATGTATACACATATAGCAGTGAAGCTGTATAAACATAGCAAAGCAGACACAGGAAGGAAAGGACTGGGTTGCATTCCAAAATCAGAGAGATTTTTAAGGTCTCAGATGGGAAACATTAAAGGACTGACCAATCAGCAACTTCACTGACCCCATTACAAAACCACACCAACATTCATTTAGGGCCAGATCACATGTATTTGAGAGGGGAAGGGAGACAGGCAGATGGCATCACACACAGGGTTTCCTAGCCTGCAGAGCACCTGGCTCTTCGCTGCTTCTCCAATAACTTTCTTATTCTACTTGGTCTCCACAGAAAGTTGGCTAAAGCTGGTTTACCTGAGGTACGTGGGCCATGTGGGGAGGATTGGTGTATGCCGGCTGAACATGAGAAGGATGGATTGTAAAGACGGTCTGTTGTGCTGTTGGGAAACTATTCTGTGGCGACTGCGTATTGGAGGCAGGGGTCATGGAAGGTGGGGTTGGTGCGAGCCCCGCGTGGTAAATGGCTGACTGCTGCTGTGGACTGGCCAGATGGAGCGCCTGGGCGGCCTGGTGCTGATGGTGCTGCAAAGCGACAAGAAAGAACTGAGAAAACCATTTCTTCAATGAAAAGCAGATAAGGTCACACACAAAGCTGAACTCCATACGTGAGCGTATGCTCCACTGGGCCCACTGAAGATGAGGGCCAATGGCAAGTACCAGAGAATGTACAGGGTAGGAAGGGCAGGGCTGGGGGGCACCCCCCATTCAGAGACACTCCTTTCTGGGCATAAGCCCAATTCTCAGCCTGGCGGTAGCAAGACCCCAACCAAGCAGAGGTAAAACAAGTCCACTGCCCCAGGGAACTGAAAGATGTCAAAGAGATCCTCAACCGCCCTGTTAACAAACATGACTACAGAAACTAACAGGGAAAAAAACCTCATTGTATAACTGTCAGGAATGAAGTTAAAAAAAAAAAAAAAAAAAAAAAAAAAAATCCCAAGCAAATCTCCTATACAATGTTAAATTAGATTTTTCAATCAATTATTTCTAGAACTTACCCAATCACTTCATTCTCAAGATGTATCTTAATATGCCTTAAAAACAACAACAACAAAAACCAAACCCCAGGGCCACAGCAGGCAGAGTTAGCTGTCTGCTGGCGCCATGAGGCAGTGCTCTGAGGGGTTTTGATCAAGCGGTACCCAGCGCGCTCCTCAGCAGCGAAAACGCCCAGTGAACAGAATGAGGACGCACTTCTACAAGGACCTGGATGTCTCCTTACCTGAACAGGACTGGGTGCAGGATGACTGCCACCATGCTGGCTCTGCTGCTGTCCGGTGGGGGTAGCTGAAGGCTGAGGGTGCGGAGTATGTGGGTGCAGGGTAGCATTAGGGTGCGCATACTGCTGAGCAAGGGAGCCAGTGGAAACTGAAGTGAAAGAAAAAGGTGTGCGTACAATCGACACGTAGGACCATCTCAACTGCTCCTCTGTGCCTCATCAGCTGAGCTTTCGTGATACTCCACGCCTAACTTAGGCTTTCGCCAGTCTGTTTTCGACTCCACTTAAACCATCCATTTTCTTGAAAATCTAAGTGTGACGTTATCACTCACCAATCACACTAGCATTTTATTTCTATAACACAGCTGTATACATTAAAATCTAATTAAATTTATTCTTAAAAACAGTCACATTTTCCTGAAAAAGATAAGCAGATAAGCAGAAACAATCCACACACACACACACACACACACACACACACACACTCTCTCTCTCTCTCTCTCTCTCTCTCTTTAGCTCAAGGCCATCATCTGGCTAACCTCACCATGCTACTGCCCTGGAGCAGGCACAGTGTCCCGTGGGCACGGACTGCAATGGGGCTGGGAGCGAGGGCAAAATCAGGGCTCTATCTTCACGGCAAAATGACCATAATCAGTCTCAGCGGATCACAGAAGTCCCTCTGCCACTGAGTTCGTACCCTGGATCCTCCCTACGCAAGGATCTGCCTCACCTTTGCTTTAAAAAATCTAGTAAATGGAATTACCTAAACTGTGTAGAAAAATGAACTCCCTTCAAAGCATCCCAGACTTCAGGAAGATTTTTACTAGCTAGAATAACTTCAAAGGAATTATGATGGGCCCTTCTAAGCAAAAATGTGTTCATTAGACCTGAGAACCTAATGCCAATTCTTTATGGATCTCAGCAAGACCATACCTTAATACCAAACAGGAGATTAGGTATAAATTCATTTGCTCATGTATTCCCAAAACAGCAATCTGAGAATCAAAATCACAGTGAGTTCACTGCTTCTAGTAACTCCTGGCAGCACAGATACAAATCTAACCACGATGTGGCAATGAGCTGAGCACAGTGTTCTCAAGACACATTCCTAGCAACACAGGACTTCCAGCATTCTCTCAAATTCATCCTAAAATTCCAGAAAAGCTAAGTTTGTACACAGAAACAATCCAAAATAGCTCCTCATGTTCTTCCTATGACATGTGAGCAAATACAGACATACAGGGGACTGACAGGAAGAAACAAGCGCTGCTGTGAGAACAGGCACTCTAACTCCCCCAACAGTCTAATAGGCAAGACGGCCAAGAGTCACCAGCATAGGTGACACCTGGCACGTCCCAAAGAAATGTTATGCAGAGGGTTAGGCACATTAAGCAATTCTGTTATGCCTGACATTGTAGGACCAAAGGCCACCAATATTCGAGCCTAACTGGTTATCTCCCCAACTGTATGTATTTTTTCAAGTAGACTCTATGCCCAGCATGTGGCTTGAACTCACAGCCCTGAGTTTGAGAGCTGCACACTCTACTATCTGAGCTGGCCAGGCACCCCATACACGTATCTTTTAAAAGAGGCAAGGGTGAGGCAAAAAGCTAGTGCTAGGATCACCTGTGCATCCACTGCCAATGTCACAGCAGGCATTAATATCTGTTAATACCCAGATTAAATTAAACAAAAACACTTTCATTCATACAGTGAGAAAGTTTCCCTAACTCTAGGAGTTAATACACACTGGAACATATTAACAAGGAAAATTGTGGCAAGATAGTCTCTGGGTGTTTTTAGGAAAAGTCCATGCCTGTTTTCTGGGAGCTAGGAAGAATAATGTGCTAATTGCTTTCCCTGAACTCCATGGTCCCCAAGTCTATAAAGTCAGTGTCTTTCTACTAATTCATCTGCTTATTAGGCAACCATTCTTCACCATCATAGTCATTAGGTTAACTTTCAGATCCCCCCAAACTGTCTAGGCACTGACTTGGTCTAAAAGACTTGATGTAAATTTTGAACCTGACTCTGCTCTTATAAAAATGTTATACTCATTCTTCAAATTTATTTTTAAATAACTACAATAGCCACATGTAGCTAGTGGTTTCTGATTACACAGCACAATTTACAGCACACTTTTATTATCACAGAAGTTCCTGGAGAATGTTGTCTAGAGTCACTCACAGGCCTTTTTAAAAAAAAGACAACTTCACCCGCAGTGTGGGTGTGGAGTTACGATGCTGACCCGAAGATCAAGAGTCACGTGCTCCACCACTAAGCCAGCCAGGCGCCCCTCACACTCCTTATTTTCACACTATTAGCATCAAAATCCTCTCTATCCCCAAGCTTCTTAAATGTTTCATTTGCAAGAATACTGAATATATCTAGGGGAAAGCAATTCCTGAATACGAAGACCCAGTACAGAATCTCAGAATTTCTATTTTTTAAACTTTATTCAAGAGATGTTTGTACTTTAACCTTCTAAGTGAAGTTTTAAAAAACAATAAATAAAAAAATAAACTGTAGCTGGGTGCTATATTATTACTTTTCTGACATAAAAACATTACCTCAAAAAAAAAAAAATTACCTCACACAAGGAGAATAATTACACCCATGATGTCTCATAATGAAGTAATTCATCAATTTAAAAAGGTTAAAATCTTGAAATTATTTGGAAAAAAATTAAAGATGAAATATGTTTTACCGTGCACTTTTAAAAGGTATCAAAAGGCTATATTCTAATTTATATCTCATTTGCATTCATAGCACAAATACTTCAAGTAACCCAAACTGTGTGCATCTACACAGGCTTTTGTTTAAAAACAAAAACAAAAACAACAAAAAACCTGTACCCCTGAAACAAGTAATACATTGTTATTTAAAAACAAAAAAAATCCTTTCCCTACCTAAGTAACAGCAAACTACAGTGCATTCTAAGAAAAATCAAACACCTGTAAATATGCATCATTAACTGCAAATAAAACTTTGAAAGGTTTAATTAGAAATAACTTCCTTTATCTTCTTGCTTAAAAGATATCTGCTAAGCAAGGACCTCATCCAGAAACTCTTCCCCCCACTCAAATACGAAAACTGGGCAGCTAATTGGGAAAAAATGTGAAACTGACACATTTTAATTCAATACTTATGTAACAACAAAAATACAGTCTGATTCCTTGAAAGGCCAGTTAAGAATGGGACAAAGGTGGGGTAGGAGAGATATCCAAAGGTTGAGGGGCAGAAAGGTTGGAAGAAAAGAGAGCCAAGAGGAAGGAACCAAGATAGAATAAATGAGGAAAATTTACTAGAATCAGGGAAAGGGAGAAGGGGAGAGTAGAAGACCGTAAATGCTAGGCTTTACTGAGTCTAATTAGTTCATTAATTTAGCTAAAGATTCCAAAGGCTAAAAATAAATTTTCTTCAAAATTCTGACTTAGCTATTCATCGGTTAAACTTCTATTTATAAAAATTAAGTTGCCTTCATGAAACCTGGATGAATTCAGGCTAATCAAGAAGCATTGCTTTTCTGGGTTTTACCTGGTCCAGAAGTCTCCCATTCACTGTGTTCCCTGATACAAATGTTTAAAACTCTAAATGTATGACTTGTCAAATCCTCCTAACACTAGTAACTACATTATAAAAACTGTTTCCTAAGCCATGATCCTACTGAAGCCAATTCAGTCCACAAGGCTGTGCGTTTAATTTTTAACTAGGTTTTATCATTTTGACCTTGGATGCACAAGTCTTGAGAGATCACCAGCACTGCAAAACTAAAAATGAAAACAAAATCTTCCAATTTGATGTTAAATTCAGAAAAAAGCAAGTGAGGAAAACTGAACTCTTAAAGGGGCGTAACAGGCAACTAGATCAAACCAGGACAAAACAGCTTCTTGGGAGGGGGTGGTACAAAGCAGCGAATTATATTATAAACAGCAGCCCCACTGTTAGTTTCTTTTAAAAACTATTAATTCCTTTCAGGGGGAGTTGTACTAAGGCAGTTAATACTTAGGTTTGATGATTAAGGACCTTTTAGCTACTTACCAGGAAACTGACTCCAAAATTACTATCAGAGACAGTAAGATGGTGAGGATAACTACATTTGAGACCTCAAATTGAGTACATAATAAAATTAATTACTGACACTGTCTTTTACAAACTGTATCACATACAAAGTTTCCCTTTAATAGTATAGATATACAGCAAGACTCCTTTTTAAAGAGCATCTATTAAAGGATTAAATTTGTTAACAATTCCTAGCACCAAATGAGTAACATGTACACATTTATTTTTGGATACCAAGTCATGACACAGTCAATGAAAACTTAAGTCAAAATGTTTTCTCAACTTTTTAAAATCTGGCATTTAGTAGATTCAGACATTAAGTCTGTCTAAAATAATCCAAAATTTAGTATTTAAAATCTTAATCCTTAATATCCCTTAAAATATAGTATTGCACATAAAGTGACTCGTTACTGACATACATTTCTGAAGGACTTGTGCAAGTCAGTACCTCTCTTATCCAAATACCGAAAGTCTATGACTAGCCTTATTTAAAAACTGCCCTACAAAATAAAGAAGACACACCTTACACGTTCATTTCTAACCCAGAGCCCTGCCCAGACTTTCTCCATTTAGGAGCCACTGTTTATTTACCTTCTCACTGCCGGTCGAGAGAGGCCAGTGCCGCCAATAGCAATCAAGCAGCGAGGCTGTGCTTTCCTGGTGAAGCTCAAACATGCTGGGGCGTATACACCTGAGTATTTTTTAAACCGTCTTCAGTCATGCAAAGACTGAAAAGACAGAAATGTTTCTTCCCTAGAATTTCAACCCTATTCAATTAAAAAATCCTTGTAAGGATAAATTTCTTCTTAGCAGGATACTGAAAAAGCCTGCTATTTCAAGCCTTTTATGCTAAATTTGTGGCTTGGATTAAAAAAAAAAAAAAAAAAAAAAAAAAAAGGCAGTTCAGCAGAAGTTTCTTTGAACAAGGAAAATATTAGGCACTTCCAAAACAGTCGTCACATATTTGCTTGGTATGCAAAAATTAATTTCTGACGCAACTCAATTTTTAAATTAACTCCAGCTTTCTTAAGCTGGGTTGTTTTTTTTTTTTTTAACTCTGAATTATTTACAAATATACATATATTCAACAATTTTGGCTGGCACAAGGAAAATATTGCTCAACAAGTCTACTCCCTTAACATGTATTCTTTAAAAAGTGTTTTACTGTTCAATTAAAATTAGTATAAAAAACCCAACTCACTGGCAAAGTAGAAAGAAGGGCTTGTCTCCTTGTTGTATGGTAATTTGGGACATGCTGAATTTGGGAAATAGAAAGGTAAATTAGCCTTTTGAGGTGTGCATTTTCCTAATTTTCTGGAAAGGTTCACATATTTAGTAATTTCTTTTTGTATTCATGCATAAATCATTTTTCTTATTTTACAAGAGATGACAAGCACTTTAAACATTGCTACAAAATTATACAAAGGACTGAACCAAAAGACACTTTCTTCTGTACTTATGTGTCGAGTTCCACATTCTGACTTGCTTAAATAAAAGGTATAAAATCATTATCTAATCAAAGACCAGTATGGCATTCCATTGAACAACCTGAATATAACTAACGTACCAAAATAAGAGAATGTTTACCAAGTTTAATTCAAAAGACTCAAACAATTTTGTAAATCATGAAGAGAAACATCATTATTCTGTAAGATATTTATTAGGCATCTGGAAGTGAACCCCCAAATTTGGAAACATAATAAGGGTAATATTAAACATGGGTATAGCATCATTTCCTATTAAAATGTCTACATAAATCTGTGTGTCTGTAAGTATATTTGAAAGGATATGCACCAAAATGTTAACTGGTGGTTGTCAGGTGGAGGAGATAACAGGTGTATTTTAAATCTTTTTGCCTCATGTATTTTCTCATTTGCTTGCATTAAACTACCAAAAACAAACTCAAACTCAAAGAGGATTCTAGATCTAATTCTTCCTGACGGCTTCAGTTAGTAAAGAAAGTTTCATTAGTACTATTTCTGAAAGAGAAAATACCACTGCCATAGAACAAAATTAGGTGAACTAGAAGACCAGGAAACAAAAAGTAACTTCTTAGGAGGGAAGGGGCAAAGGCAATGATTTAAGTTAGATTAAGGTCAGAGATGAAGTTTGTGATCAAACTCCTTTCTATAACAGCTAGAAAGAGAACAAGGTCAATAACTATTTAGAATGTTTAATATCTCTAATAATTTAGCTGTTCAATAATCTGTCAGCATATTTATATTAAATACACCAACCATTTAAAGAAAATAATCAGTCTTTATTTTGTAGTCATTAGTGTCCTTTCTAGTCTTAAAGCCTTTTGCTGTGGCTGTTAACAATGAATGAATGACAAAAGGGTGACATATAACTGTCGCTAACATCTAGGTGCATATTCTTTTATTTGCATAAAAAGTTGAAAATATTTAGATAGAATGAAGCTTAAAAATAGACATAAATTCATACTCAAAATACTTCGTTCCTTTGGGAATATGAATTATAAACTGTTCGAGGGAAGTAAGTATAAGATTAGCATTTCTATGCAACAGATTTAAAAGTACATTATTTTAAACTAAGACAAAAGTGTCTATATCTGGCATAATTAAAGTCTTGGAAGATCTAAAATAACTGAAGTAAATTACTGAAGAATTAATGAACTTGCTTTACTAGATTAAATTATGGTTTATGATGGCAAAGAATAAAATATTTCATTTCCTAGTGTTCTTTTTAGAGTATGAAATATCAAAACGAGACCCTGAGTAAACAACTGTATCAACAACCATATCATAGCAACAACCATATCAAGTCCATAGCCTCACCCCAGCCTACCCTTATCAACAGATGTCAATTAGATACAACATGTATAAACTGCAGGAAGAGAAGTTTCAGATCTGGCTGAGCAACTTTCTCCCAGCAATAAAGAACTAGTCTTAATGACAAATCATTCCAGATTTCACTGGACATTAGATCCAGTGTTTGGTCTGCAGTATTTCCTATTTACGCACATTTGAATTGACTCCAGGGTCCAAGGACAACTACTTTTCAAATGGAAATGTTTTGGGAAAGCAATTATAAAACCATTAGTGTATCAAACACAGTATTTCCGATACAGGCTATTTCAAACCAGTGAACATCCATCCAAAAGACAAAACCAAATGCTGGCAGTTAGTGAACACACTGAGGAGAAAGATTCTTCTCAACATCACAGTATTACTACAATGTCTCAGAAGCATGGGTACACAATTCTCTATGCTATTCTCTAAAAAGTAATGGAAATTTTAACTCAAAAGTTTTAGAGCTTATTCCAAGGGGAGTATGCCAGAAAATGGGAAGAGAGAAGTGTTTTTTCTACTTTTAAAATCATGATGTATTATTTATCAGAAATATATAAAAAATCATAATGAACTTTTTCACATAAGCCTTTAGCAAACCAGAAAATTGTTAAAATGTATACAAACTACGTAGAAGCATGTATGATGAATACACTTTTATGCAATTTCATACATACTTAGTCCTGGTTAAGACAAGCCAATGAAAAGCAATCATAACCAAAATCATAAGCCAAAATCAGTCTGTTGGTATTTTTTTCAATTAAATTATGAATGAGTTTCTTGTAAGAAAGTTTCCCCAAATGTAGCAATTACATCATTTTAACAGCAGAAGGTTTTAAGTGATAAGGTATAAAGATTGGGTTTAAGAATTTTACAAAAACAATGCCTTTAATCATTTAACATGCCTATCACTGCGTGTGTGCAGGGGGAGCACGCCTCCGGGAAGAAAGCATGAGCAGCAGGTCACGGATGACAAGAAACTTGACGGCTGCTGCCTGAGTGCTAGTCCTATGAACCTACAGAGTATCATATAGCTGTAGTCATTAAAAAAGTTTTAAAAGGTTTAAAAAAATGCAATGTCCATGTAATTACTTGTAATGGTACTTTCTTTCTCATAGTGTATACTTTCCATTTGTATGAATAAATTTAAATTTCTCTCCTCCCACTCCAAAAAACTGAAATGCCAATGGGATAACCTAAATGACAGTACAGGAGTGCTCAGGAAAGTTCAAAACAAAACTTACATCTTAATGAAACTAGAACGAATTAAAGTTTTTTGAAAAATATGGGTCCACTCACTGACTCTATTATTATAAGATATGAGTGGAAATGTCATTTTAAATTCTCAACATTGAAAACCACCTTATTTTAGTACTTTAGATGGATGCTAAGGTGACCTGCACAGAACTCTCCAGCCACAAAACTAAGATGGAGATTTTTGCAGATTATTCCTTTATATATTGTTTTAATTATTTTACATAGGGTACTTATTTTCATTTCACCACTGCTTGTATGATTATATTTAAAGTGTGACTCATGTCTAAAGGAGACCCAGTATCATACTGTTTTGACCTCTTAAAATCAGCATGAGGCAGACACACAACAGCATTCGTTTTAACAAACAGCAACAAAAATATGTAACGCCAATGACTGCCAGGAGAAGGAGTGGAGCAGAATGTTTTCTTGTCAGAGAGGGCTTTCATTGTGTCAAAACTTTCTTGCATGCCTTAGGCAGGCCATACCAAACTGCTGTAATACTGATGAGGAAGAGGAGGAAGATGCCTTTCTCCACAAACGATACTTTCCATTATACAAGTCATTCAATTTCACTTAAAATAAGGAATGACGTTTGAACACAAATTTCAGCAATAGAAGTTGAAATGATTTGCCAAGACTTAAAGAAATGGGTTAATCTTTTCTTTAGATTCTTGACCCTCATTGGTATAAAAGGCTAAGTTTTCTTAAAGTTTCTTTTCAGAGCTTTAAAACAATAGTCACTCACACTGAAAGAGACAAACAAAATGCTTCCTACCATACATCGCATGCGTCTGCTCATGAGCCCCGTACTGAGTTGCTGAAGAAGACACTAAACCAGGCTGGGCATGTGCTGGCGGCGCCATCATTCTAGCATTACCCTGTATCACAGGACTATAGACATGAGGATGCTGTGTTCAAACAAAATATAAAGAAAACACATTAAAGTATCAAACAGAGTCAGGCAAATTTTAGTCAGACGTCTTAACTCCACACTTTCCAGGTTTAGAGAAACAACTCTGAAAATCCTAAAACTGTTTTTGGCTATTTCCTTTGAAATACTTATGCTGATCAGCAACCTTCTTATACTAAAAAGGCCCCCAAATCCTTAGCTATCTACCTCACCATGACACAGAACACAAAATATAAAGGAAAAGCCCTTTACCCTATTAAAGGTTAAAACTGAATGTTATTTAAATGGAACAAAAATTAAGAGGTCACAGCAGCCTTACCTGAGACTGATAGTGTGGCACATGCTGAACGAGAGGCTGATTTGGAAACTGCTGAGGACTATAGGCAACATATTGTGTGGAATAAGCTGGTGGGGTGGCCACAATCGGCGGGCCCGCCGCGGAGGCTGGGTGCATCATGGTGCTCTGATGATGCTGGTCCTGCCGCTGCTGGGGCATATTTGGTACTGAAGAAAAGATGACTGAGTATTAGAAAATACCCTCTCCTCAGAATCAGACACATGCACATAGCATCGCACACATGCTCTTCCATGTGTCTCATGTAACCTCAAACACCAATGCCCAACCCTCAGTTTGCACAACTCTGACTCATCCTTCAAGTGTCAGCCTGAAAGCAACTTCCTCAGAGACTCTCTCCAATGACCCCCAGATCTGACTGAGTCCCTGTAAATCGACACAGCACTATGAAAAGTTTCCTACATACTACTTTCTGAGATAATCCCTGTCTGACACACCAAATTATGCCAATTGCTACAGAAGGCTAATAGAGTTATTTAAAGAAAAACAATAGTACAAGAAAAAAGCCAAAATAGACCCAACACTAAGCTTTACTCTCTTTTCCCATCAATGAATTCTTACACAATTTCTTGCTCTTTCTCAAAACACAGCAACACATACTACCATGCAGCAGGTTTCTAACAGTTGTTTTTAAAAATTACTGTTAAGTCTTTTATTATTTTTAAGATTTTATTTGACAGAGAGAGAGGGAGCGAGTGAGCTCATGAGCAGGGAGAAGGGGCAAAGGGACGGGGAGAAGCAGACTCCCTGTTGAGCAGAGAGCCCCAGATGCAGCTCTCAATCCCAGGACCCTGAGACCATGACCTGAGTGGAGGCAGATGCCCAACTAGCTGAGCCACCCAGGCAGTCCTACTGTATGTCTTTTATTATCCCACACAGATTTTTGCCTCATGGTCCTCCCAGTGTTAAAATTCTAAAAATTAATTAAAAATTCAGCTAAAAAAAAAAAAAAAGAATTCAGCTCAACTGGGGCACCTGGCTGGCTCAGTCAGTAGGGGATATAATTCTTATTCTTGGGGTGTGAATTCAAGCCCCACACTGGGTGTAGAGATTACTTAAAAGAAATTCAGGGGCGCCTGGGTGGCTCAGGCTGTTAAGCATCTGGCTTTGGCTCAGGTCATGATCCCAGGGTCCTGGGATTGAGCCCCACACCCGGCTCCCTGCTCACGGGGAGCCTGCTTCTCCCTATCCCTCCTGTTCATGCTATCTATCACTTTCTCTCCCTCTCAAATAAATAAAATCTTAAAAAAAAAAAAAAATTCAGCTGTCACCTCCTCTGTAACATCTTTTCCAGTTCCCCTCAAACAACGAGCTGCATACTCTGTGTACCTTCTTCTCACTTGTCTATTAGAGCACTGCACTATTGTCTGTAATGGGTGGGTGGTATGATGTCAACAAAGCCACTTGAGGGAAGGAATCATGAACCACTGCTTACAACACGGCAGAAGGCACAAAGAATGTATAACTTGGCATGTTCATAAAATCATCAGAACTAATTACACAAGTAATTACTAATTTAGAGACAGAATTTGTTTAAATATTTGAATTTTCTTGCTAAAAATTTAATGAACTTGCTGAAATTTAAGAGAGGTGGTAATATAGAGTTTTATCTATTTAGAGAAGGAAATGTGGAAAGAGAAGAAATGCATTTTTCTGAACTTGATCTTGAAAGTCCATATATTGAAAAAGCAATTCCTTTCAGTAAAGCTGCCCCAAACTCCTATATTTTTTTAAGATTTTATTTATTTATTTGACAGAGAGAGATCACAAGCAGGCAGAGAGAGAGAGAGAGGAGGAAGCAGGCTCCCTGCCAAGCAGAGAGCCCGATGTGGGGCTCAATCCCAGGACCCTGGGATCATGACCTGAGCCGAAGGCAGAGGTTTAACCCACTGAGCCATCCAGGCGCCCCCCAAACTCCTATAACATTTTTAACAAATGAAAGTTTACGATTTCTTTTGATACTTGATTATAACCCTTTTTACTATTCGATACTTGATTATAACCCTCATATATTAAAATAATTAATTTAAGTAAAAAAGCCAGTCAAGTGTACCATCTTTTTTAAAATTAAAATTCTAGGAACTCCTGGGTGGCTCAGTCAGTTAAGCATCTACCTTCAGCTCACATCATGATCCCAGAGTCCTGGGATTAAGCCCCACATCGGGCTCCCTGCTCCATGGGGATCGTGCTTCTCCCTCTTTCTCTGCAGCTTCCCCTGCTTGTGCACATGCAATCTCTGTGAAATACATAAAGTCTAAAAAAAAATTAAAATTCTAGTTATACACACAGAAAATGCTTGAATATAATTTTTTAATTTTTTTTTAAAGATTTTATTTATTTATTTGACAGAGATCACAAGTAGGCAGAGAGGCAGGCAGAGAGAGAGGGAGGAAGCAGGGTCCCTGCTGAGCAGAGAGCCCGATGCGGGGCTCGATTCCAGAACCCTGAGATCATGACCTGAGCCGAAGGCAGAGGCTTTAATCCACTGAGCCACCCAGGTGCCCCGCTTAAATATAATTTTAAAACATAAAAAATTCTACAATACAACATAAAATCCTCCATCCCATTATTTACATACATTTTTTCCCACTAACAGCAACTGTGTGTGGCCTTCTAGATTATCTCCTATGCATTAGCACATATGCCTATGTATTTACACAGACATATACTTGGGTTTATGGCATATTTTCTCCCTCAAATTGAATCTATCTTAATATTAAACTATAACTTAGATGGACCATAGTTTAATGATTTCCATATGTCCAATGGTTTTCAACTGAGAGCAATTTGTCTTTCAAGGGACATGTGGCAATATCTGGAAACATTTTGGTTGCCACAAATCAGAGAAGGGGAGTACTACTAGCATCAAATGGGTAAAGGTCCAGGTACCTGGGTGGCTCAGTCAGTTAAGCATCTGCCTTCAGCTCAGGCCATGATCCCAGGGTTCTGGGATCTGGTCCCACATGGAGTAGGGGGTTTGGGGGGGTTTCCCTGCTCAGCGGGGAGCCTGCTTCTCCCTCTCCCTCTACCCCTCGCCCCTGCTCATGCTTTCTCTTCTCTCTCTTCCACTCGCTTTCTCCCTCAAATAAATAAAGTCTTAAAAAAAAAGTTTTTAAAAATGGGTAAAGGCCAGGTATGCTAATAAACCAAAAATATCTGTCCCAAAATGTCAACAGGGCCAAGGCTAAGAAATTCTGTTCTACATTAATCAAGTTCTTGACTTTGGCATATTTTTTAGAACAACAAAATTTTTCTCACAAATTGCAAAAGAAAACCATTACATTTGTACCGAGAAGACAAAGTGGTTTTGTGCAAAGGCTTTACTATCATGAAGGAATGATATGCCTTATACAATCCTTGACTGCGTTTCAGAAGCAAATCCTTGACAAATAAAAGAGCATGATACAAAATTAATATAAAGACAGAAATAGCCTGCATATATAGTACTTCATAAACTTACTTCATAAGTAACTACTTAAACTGCAGTGGAAAACACACTGGTTTTATAACAATAAAAAAAGAAAACACCTAAGTATAAACTGAAAAAATACACACTACCTTCTAAGAGAAACTTAAGAAAAAACACTAAAGATACAAAAGCAGATTTAAAGGAGAAAGGCGTAATTGTTCTTGCATAAGAAGACTAAATAAAAAGACAGCAATTCTCCCCTAATTTATAAATTTAATATCATTCCAATAAAAATGCCAACTGGAGAACTAAATGTTAAAAACAATGAGTTTGTACTAAAAGAACAACAAAAATCATCACTGGTCAACCTTTAGAGGATAGTATGAAATCAACTCATTATTTTGAGAACTTTCTTGAAATGATACCATTTTAATTGCACAAACTATACCTCACAGTAACCAGTTTTTCTTTTTCTCTTTTTTGTCAGAGAGAGAGAAGAAGAGAGCACAAACAGGGGGAGCAGCAGGCAGAGGGAGAAGCAAGCTCCCTGCTGAGCAGGGAGTCTAATGCAGACTTGATTCCAGGACCCCGGGATCATGACCTGAGCCACCCATGCATCCCTAAAAATTTTCTTTATAGAAATATTCCAACTAATAATTGAGTAAGGGATAATAGAGAATGTCACCATTTTGCAACCCCTTAATGAAATGATGGCTCTAGGGCTAGACAATGATAGTCAGTGGTTGCTAAACACAGAAGGGCTGGTAGGAAATGTTATCCTGAATAGATACAGCTATTCTATTATCACAAAAAGGTGACATCATATGACTCCTAATGACAGTAAACATTTCACCTATGAAACATTCTAGATTAAATTTAAAAAACTACAACCTGATCTTATCAAGCCTCTCTAGACATCTACTCTCAGTTTGCGAGCATTACAGAGAACAGACAGCCACTTTAAACACCACCAAAGAGATGCAATTCCTGAAATTCAAATTTTAAGAAAGAATATGGGACAAAGCAGCTAAATTTAAGTAAAATGTAAAGGGGGAAAAAACAAAAACTAAAGGGAAAACTTTAAGAGAGACTTATCATTAAGAGAGATACATCAATCAAAAAGGTGGATTTTGGATGACGGTAAGCTTTCAGTGAGCTGTAACCACTGATCACATATTTTATATATGTATAAAACAAATAATAATGTAAAAGCTTCAAACAAAGAGAGAATTACCAAATTACCAAATGTGACAGAGACAAATGCTGAGCAAATGCTGTTAGAAAAATGGTGCCATGGACACCTGGGTGGCTCAGTCAGTTAAGTGGCTGCCTTCAGCTCAGGTCATGATTCCAGGGTCCTGGGATCGAGTCCCACATTGGGCTTCTTGATCAGCAGGGAGCCTGCTTCTCGCTCTGCCTCTGCCTGCTTACGCTCTTTCTGACAAATAAATAACTTTAAAAAAAGAAAAAAAAGAAAAATGGTGCCAACAGACTTGCCTAAAACAGGGTTGCCACAAACCGTCGCTCTGGGGAAAAAGCAGTACCTGTAGAGTGTAATTAAAGAAGTACGCCTGTACCTAACACTGTAAGACAAGGCTCCACCATAAGAACAGGAGCAATGCAAGGGTCATGTCACTTAGAAGACTTAGCCAGTGCAATAAAGCAAGAAAAATATACAGTGATTGGCCTATAATTGTGTACACAGAAAATTCTAAGTCTAAAAGAAGCTACTAAAAACAA